TCTATTTTCACATAAAATCTTAATACAATTTAGAAAGTTTATTGTGACTAAAAAATTATATTGTTGTAACATAAATAATTTTTAAAAAAATTATATATACAATTATTTTTTATGTTAGAAATGAAAGGGTTAAACTTTTCGATAAAAAAGAAAATACACATATGTAGGCATAATGTTATCTTTACATATAAGATGAGTAATATTAGATTGATGGAGTTTTTAAAAGTTTTTTGAATACTTTATTAGAAATATAATGATGCATATTTTTTTAAGGGTAATATAGTCAATCAAAAAATCTTATAGAAATTGATATTTATATATAGAAAATAGATAATTAAAAGAGATTTTAGAAATAATTTGGAGATTTAAATACATAAGAATATGATTATAATTTATATATATATATATAATTGAAATGTTAAATTGCAATTTACCCATGACTTTATCATAGGCACATGTCCACAATGTTGTCCGAGTCTTACATAGCAAACCACAAAGACAATGTTTATAAAGGTCTTAGTTTTAATATTTTACTTATGTTTACTTGTTTTGGTAGATCCATTGATGTAAGACATCATGTGAGCCATTTTATATGCCCTATGCAACCAAAGCATACACACTTGGGTTACAATCCTATTTTGCCGGGTCAAACCTCTCGTTGACTCGATCAACATTTGAGGTCAGGCGTTGATGAGCACATTAAACTAGCTATCAATTTTGCCTCAAAACATCTGTAAGATAGATCCATCATGGATTTGAGGGTACATTACCATTACAAAAAAAAAAAAAAAAAGATTATTTCGGTTAGACAATGTGTAGTACTTACTATAGGTTCGATAATTCATCTTTACACGAAATAAAACAGATTTGAATCTCTATTTATATATATATTCTTTCGTTGTTCACATTAACTACAAATCTTTCGTCTTGAATTTAAATGAGACTAATCGTATATAAGTGAGTTTTACATGAATACGAGATTAGTGATTTATCAGTGAAAAAAATAAAAGAAGAAATATAGTGGAAGAGATCTAAATCTGACCAGAACAAAAACAATTGGGTGGGTCTACCTCAAATGATCTATACAAGAGTATGGTATAGTGTACTGCATTCAAGTAAATGGAAATAGTTATGGTGCCTTTGCTTCAGCCCTAAAGTTGTCTGCAAGCATTTTTTAAATGTCTTTGTACCAAAGGCAAGAAGTTGGTGAGACGCGCGTGAATTAATTTAAGTTTGAAAATGGGGCACTCTTGATCCACAAGGTAAGGAGTGAATTCATTATTATTATTATTTTTTGGTTAATTGTTTTTTATATCCGGGGTTTCGGTTAGAAATATCTTATCTATTTGATATTTAAAATTATGCACGTTATACCCTTATAATTATGTATCATAGTGAAATAATTGACCTTGTTAACGAAATTAAAAAATTATCATAATACCCTTGTTTTAAAATCAGACGTCTGATTTACTTTTGACTATAAAACTAATGGAATATGATAACAAACTAATACATTTCAACCAAACATGTCAAGTCTTTTTTTTCTCATCAAGTGAGCTTTTGATCTTGGACCAAAAATCATTTATACTTTTCTTATATGTTTTTTGATTTGTGACCGATGCCTACTTATTTGGATATTATACCATATATTATAAAAGATATTTTAAGTACTTAGACAATGTTCTTTTAGAGGAAAACAATGAAAACAAAGTTTACAACATCTTTTGGGCGTGTAAAATACAATCTCCGTTAACTTAGATGACAAACGTAATCATTTCACTCTAGTGCATAACTTCAAATAGAAAATGTACATAATTTTGAACGTCAAATAAGTAAATTATTTCTAGTTGAAATCACAAGGAGGTAAAAAATAATTAATCTTTTTTTTTTGTCACCACTTGAAATTTTTACGAGAAATGGTTGATGAAATTCAAACCCGCAAACTAACGATTCAACAACAGACTGCAAAGTTATTAGACCACCACCGATCTTCAGTGAATTCATTATCATGTTAATTATCGAGATTTCTTAATTTTTTTTAACTTTTTAACTTATTTTCTAATTTATTGTTGTTTTTATAAGAGTATGATTTAAAAATCAAGATCTTGTTTGTAGACAAGATACAATTCCTTCATCGCTCGAACAAATAGACATTTGTTCAATGAAAACTCCGGCCATGCCGACTGGTGTGTTTATTATATGCTGACCCGGCCATGCACCATGGTCGATAAAATTTGCCGGCCATATATTTTTACTAAGGTGAATTATACTTTGTATCATGAAAGATTAAAAAAATTTTAATTTGTATATTATCAAAGATTAAATTTCGTATGTTACACTTTTAATGTATCAAAAGTATTACAATACGATCTTTCTGTTAATTTTCTATTAGTATTTTTCGTTGGTATCAATAGGTTGACTTTTGATTAAAAAAAAAATAACGGAAGTTAACAAAATGGTCATATTGCAACACTTTTGATAATATAAGGGTATAATATAAAAAATTTAATCTTTAAGGGTATAAAATAAAAAACTTAAAATCTTTTAGGTGGACAAAGTGTAAAAAACCATCTTATTAATTTGAAAATGTCTCAACAAACACGCGGGGATGGATTACTAGACTGCAGTGGGATCACAAAAACAAGTGAGCTCCAACTTAATCCGACGGCTAACATTCTGTCGCTCATCTGCACACGTCTGAACTCTGTAACACTTTAGTCAACCCTCTTGTCTTTCTCTGGAAGTGTCACATTAGAGCAACAACAAATTACATTCTATCTCCTCCAAGTTTATGATAACACTAAGTCCTCACAAATTTGGTATTGGGGTCGTTTGGAGTTAGTTTAAATAGATAATTTTTAAAGATTTTGGAGTAAAATAAGTCAGGTCTGATTGATCCTTGAATTTTTTACTAGCTTATGTAGTTTTTTGAACCAAAAAAAAAATTATTTAGGCTGATTCAAGAAATTAATTTTATGAGCTTTTCTTCTCCTTTTTAGAGTTTTGTTGTGGATTTTACATAATTTTTTAATTTATTATATTCATAAAATATTATTAGCGGTGTAAAAAAAATTTTAAAAACTTATTTTTTAGAAACTATTATATATAATCTATACATACATGTAATTATTATTTTTTTATTTTGACACAAAAAAATTAGAACTTTACTTCAAACATACTTTTTCTACTTTTCTAGCTTTTTAAATAACACCCCTAGACAATTTTAGGGGAATTTTGGTCTTTTTTGGAAACTTTTCAAAGTCAGGTCCAAATAGACCTATTGTACAGAAAATTACTACTTTTTAAGGCCTAAAATTACAACTACTTGAGATAAATTATGATCGATTATGACTTACTTCGCTTAGTTATAACCTGTTCTTTATGAGTTGTAATTCGACTCTTAAAAATTTTAATTTATCCTTTGAAATGTGTAATTTAACTTTTAAAAATTATAATTTTATTGATTAATTATAATATTTTGAGATTGATCATTTATAATTAACGCACACCAAAAAAATTATAATTTGATATTAAAAATTATACTTAAGAAGGTAGCATAACATGATTTTCATAGAGTCGTGGTCATTTGGATAATCTTTACTATATAAATATAAATGAGTCAATCCATAAATATCGAGCCAATATATTTATAATTGAAGAATTAAAATTTTGAAATAGATTGACCAGCACATAATTTTAAAACACAAATTATGACATTAAAAGCATGAATTGTCACAATTAGCCTCTCAATCGAATCACCCAAATGCTGAAAACACGACTTAAAGTTTGGAGATTTAATTCAATTTGAGGGACAGAATAGGAATCACACGCAAATTTAAAGGGTAAAAAATTTGATTATCAATTAAAGCTAATGGCACTTATGGGCCCATAATTGCCAGCTCCTTGCAGCCTCAGATAATGATTTAGTGGCCCAAATGTATTTTGTGTAATATTACCATATTGTCCCTCGAGCTATAGGTTTCAAAAACGCGTCAAAAATTTGTTAAATGACGCAATCGCCCAATAATTATTCTGCCCTTGATGAAATTCTATGTGATTTCTTTTTGGTATTGTCATCAAGAATATTTAAGACAACTTACGTGTACCTCGATTTATTTTCTCTTCAATCAGAATAAAGACAATTCAGCTGTGCTGGAACTAAAAAATTTATTAAGAATAAGTCTCTTTGATTTGACCCAAAAGAATTGTTGAATTTCGAATTCAAGATATCTGAGTTTACAGCTCATTTATGTTTCTACTGCACTACCCTTGGAGTTATTTGATCTATTCCTCTCTTTTCTTTATAATTTTTGTAATTTTGGCCAGGACAATACAATTTTATTTTTTCACCTAATATCTAATATACACAATAGTATATTTTTCATTCTAAAAAATTAAATTTAATGTTACTAATTTTTTTGCCCTAATTTTGATCAATGGAATATGACAATATTACCATTGGGGCTAGGAGTTCAAACTTCTCAATAATCTATTTCGAGTAATATTACACAATTCAAATAAAAACTCAAAAAATTGCGTTTCAAGTACATACCATCTCTTGGATGAATGAGTCTCATCAATTTTTTTAGTGAGACCCACTCATCCAACACTCGTTAAAGGATGATATGTACTTGGGTCACAATTTTTGAGTTCCATTAATGTTGTGTAACATATTTTTTTTTACTAAAATCACGAATGACCAAGTTTTATTATTCTTTAATGATCAATTACCTTTAAATTTGAATTTTTTCATTGAAACCTATTGTATCAAATTAAATTTTTTATTCAAATTTGAATTAAGTTCGGAGATGCTCGTATCAAATGGGTCGTCGGTGCCATTTACAAAACATAAAAGGCAACTCCAATAATTTCCAAATTCACATTCAAGGTTCTGTACATATCCTACAAATGTTAGGGTCAATTTAGTAATTTTAACTTCCAACGTTAAACAGTAATCTGTGGTCTGTAGAAACAACGATGGGTCACTACGCACACCTCGCGCAAATGCGCTATAGCCTACCAGCACTGCATCCCTTCCACAGAATAATAATCAACGTTTCCTCTTAAAAAGTCTCTACCACTGCTCAGTCTTCTGTGTAACGTCCTTAAATTTCTTTAGCAATATGAATAATTTTATATCTGTATATTGCTAATAATTTTATAAAAAAAGCCTACAATTAAATTCTATCTGATTCTCTCTCCTCTCTCATTCAAGGCCACCGATTCTTCCAAATTTCAAACCTCCCCACTACCCACAAATTTAGGAAGTTGGGCATTTTATTTCTTTCGTCTTTCATTTTTGTTGAAAATAATTCATTTTTTCTGTTCTTCAAACCAAACCCATATCAAAGTTTCTTTATTTTTGTTCTCCTGTATCTGAGTTTGCAGGAGAAGACAAAGGAGTAAAACGATTTGAGAATTCTGGGTAGTTTGGTTGGTTTTGTTTTTTTGTGTCGTCTTTTTTCATTTACTTCCCATTTTTCTCAAGTGGTGTTGTATCTATAATTCTCAAGTGGTGTTGTATCTATAATCAATCTGTTTTTGAATTACCCATGTGTGGAGAGATTAGAAAGTTTCATTTATTTTATCAGATTTTAAGAGTTGAATTCTATAGAAAGTAGACTTTCATTGATTCATAGATACCCATTTCCAGAAAAAAGGAAATTTTCAGTTTTGATCATTCATTTCAAGCTCTTAGCTTTCAAAATTAACCTTTCCATGTTTGTATCATTTGTGGTTTTTCTACCTTGACCCCCCCTTCCCTTTATTCGCTCTCCAATTGTTGATCCATTGCTGTAACCACATAAGGATGTATGGAACTCAAAGCAGGAGAGACTTGACATTTGAATGTCAAGCCCAAATACCCATTTTAAGACCAAGCATTCATGCCAGAAGGGCAAACATCACAGTGAAATTTCAGGATCTTTATGGATTCACAGTAGAGGGAAATGTTGATGATGTCAATGTGTTGAACGAGGTAAGAGAGAAGGTGAGGCAACAGGGTAGGGTATGGTGGGCATTGGAAGCTAGCAAAGGTGCAAATTGGTATTTGCAGACTCAAGTCTCATCAACTCTAACATCATCCCTGAAATTTTCAGTTCTAGTGAATGCAATTACTCTCAAGAGGCTAATTAGGAAGGGAATCCCACCAAGTTTAAGGCCTAAGGTGTGGTTTTCTTTGTCTGGGGCGGCCAAGAAAAAATCAACTGTGCCGGAGAGCTATTATGATGATTTGATCAAGGCTGTGCAGGATAAGGTCACTGCCGCAACGAAGCAGATAGATCATGTGAGTTTTTGGTATTAGATTGATCACTGTGAGATGTTGAGGATTAGATTAGATTTCTAATTATGCTTGTGGTAGTTGTGTTATTGCATGAATCATTATTTGAATTTGATTTGGTGAATTGTTTCTAACATGAAGGTTATGATATTTCCTTTTGCAACATCATTTGTTTGTGAAAGGGTGGTTTCCATAAAAAATTTAGTATTAAGTGATGTACAGAATGGATATCCTTCTGTTTTTAATATGCTGATAGGAATTTTCAGCGGAATAGGTCAAATCTAGTTTTGCATTATTCTGCAGAAACAGATGGGTTTGTTTATCTTTCCTAATTTTGAAATTATACAGTTTTCTGGTGGAAGAATCTTGTATGCATTATGAAATAGATCATTTAAATATCTACGAAATATTAAAAGATTCAATGCCTTCACCAAAATGGTTGAACTTCTATATGGGCAGTGTGTTATGATGAACCCATATGGGAAGGCCCTTGATTAAGTTTAGATATTGCAAAGGGTGACAAGGGCATAACCTCATCAAAGTGACAGTCTATAAATCAATAGGCGAGATGACGATCACAATGAATTTGAGATTGCAACCTTTTAGGATACAACCATGAAGCTTGTTTGGCAGTATTTTATGGTTGCTCCGGCTAAGTTAAGGAGCATTATCACTTATTTTTGATTTCATGGATTTTCCTCATTCAGAATACATCTCGATTGATCGTGAGTGATAGTAAACTTGTTACTATTGCATCTTAATTTGTTCAAATGCGCCAAGTATAGACACATCATCGGATAAAAATAAACTAGGAAGATGTCTTCTACTATATGGTCAATGGTTCAACAGAAATCTTGGTTCAGTACAAGTATGGCCATATTTACCCTTGGATATGAATTCTGGGGAAATAAGTCTCAAATGCACTGCACATACTTGGTACTCATGTCAGGATGACTAGATTGCCAGGAAGCTCTAGATTGTGAGCTTGTCAATATGATGTGGACATTGGAAATTTCATGTTACCAAGTTGGAAAAGAAAGGGGGAGGCAGGGCAGGGAGATGACACAAAGATGAGGGTTTAGAGATTGTGCAGATTTGGGTGGTCATGCCAGTGAATAATTTGTAATTTATATATTTCGGGTACTTCTTGGTAAAATTCTTCATGCGGACGCATAGTATTTGCTTCGATACATAAATGTTTTTCAGGATAGAAAATGCTCGGCTGGCTGATGTGTGAGATAAGTGAGAAGTCAGGAATTTTTTTTATTGTGAAGGAATTCACCAAAATGTCTATTTTCATCAAAAATTTATATGAACAAGGTGTGTGATGTCATGAAGTTTGAGCATTGGCAACTTAAGAAGTTTAACAGTTTAAGCTTTATATTGGGGGTTTCCATCCTTGCTTATTTTTTGTTGCATTTTTTTTTTGTCTATGTATGATGCCGATTTTTTTCTGTCAGCCTATTTGGTTTCTCTGAATAGCAAACTATTGTTTATTGGGGCCATGCTAATATTAGTATTCAATTTTTGGTATTCTATGTTTATAAATGCAGGATCTACCACGGACCTTCCCTGGTCACCCATGGTTGGACACTCCAGAGGGTCATGCTACTCTCAGGCGTGTTCTAGTTGGGTATTCTTTCCGTGACTCTGATGTTGGTTACTGTCAGGTGGGTTCATTCTCTAGGGATCGTAATAAGAGTACGGGTATGTACTTTTACTGGAAAGAGTTCTTTTATAGTCTTCCATCAGATGCAATAAACAAAATGAGATAAAACAAGTGGAAATCTTGTAGTTCTGGCGGTTGAAATTTCTAAAAGGTTTGTATCTTCAAATGCACGTTGTCAGAAATTTACTATAGTTTCGCCAATTCAAATAAATCTCACCATACTAGTCTAGTAGATTCCGTATTTTGCAGGAATTTTTGAATGAAATACTTACGCAATAAAGTTTGTAATTAAAACATGAGATACCAAACATTTTTATTGTGACGTTCAATTTTGCATGCAGTTCTTTCATGTTTGTTGGTCTTCAGCTTGCATTGAATCTGTCCTTTTATGAATAAGACCACTTGTGGTTTTTTTTGTCCTCACTTGGATCATTTTATCTGCCATTCTAATGTTATGTTAAGTTGTTTTTTTAATCATGGGTACATTATGTGAATGGTATCCTCCACCCTGTTGTAATCAGTGACCACAGCATTCATCTCTCATAGACCTATTTAGTGACTACTGTTTCATGCACGAAAATTCTTGTTATCATTATAAATGATACTTCCGTGGGATTCATTAGCACTAATGTCAATGATATAATACCTATGGTGCATCTGTTTTTTAGGCAACCCTTTTGGTTCTATGGCAAGTACATCTTCGGTGTGCAGAGGATTTTTTCCCTTGTTGAAGCAACTTCCACAAATGATGTTTAATCTTGGTTTGAAAAAAATTTAAATTACGTGATAGTGAACAGGATGAATTTGGATGCAGGGTTTAAATTATGTAGCAGCATTATTGTTGCTTGTGATGAAAACAGAAGAGGATGCTTTTTGGATGCTATCTGTCCTCTTGGAAAATGTCTTAGTTAATGATTGCTACACAAATAACTTATCAGGATGCCATGTTGAACAAAGGGTGTTTAAGGATCTGCTGGCCAAAAAATGTCCAAGGTATTCTACCCCTTTGATGATATTATTGATATACTCGGTTTTTCTGTTGGTGGTTGTCTAAGATTGAGTTGAAGTACAATTGCAGGATAGCCGCTCATTTGGAAGCTTTGGAGTTTGATGTCTCTCTTGTCTGCACAGAGTGGTTTCTATGCCTCTTTTCCAAGAGCTTGCCCTCAGAGGTTAAAACAAATTTATTTGCCCTTCTCTCTCTCTCCACACAAACACACACACGCACAGACGCTTACTCACTCACTTACCTACCTGCCTTAAAGAAACCTGGCTGTTAAATAATAAGTTTCCTTCTGCAAACCTCATTCAGACAACCATGCGGGTGTGGGATGTTCTTTTCTATGAAGGGGCAAAGGTTATATTTCATGTAGCTTTGGCCATTTTCAAGGTGACACTGTCATGTTTGCTTATTTAGTTTCCATGGGTATTGGATGTTGTTTCTCATCAAGGTATCTGAGGTAAGACGTTATGGTTGATGATGGCAGATGAATGAAGAAAAGTTGCTTGTGGCACATCAGGTTGGGGATGTAATTAATATAATACAGAGAACAATTCATCACCTCTTTGATCCAGACGAGTTATTGACGGTAACTACACTCTATCTGGCTTTGTTTATTTCCCTTTTCTTTTAGTTTTCATTGTGTCCCTCAGCCAGTCCCCCCAAAGTAAAACTATATATGTATGTGTAAAATTACATGTGGAAGGGGGGCAATTCGTGAATATAAATTACATCCAATCGTACAGCATTTGCTACATTCCTTTTTTGAGTGTTTATTGAAAAATAGAAAATCTCTATTTTTCATTACATGCAACAAGATACACTCGTATTACATACCTGGGAAAAAAGGTAGACTCACGTTAAATGCTATGAACATGACAATGTTCTTCGAAACTTATTTAATTAGCATATGCCTCTCATGCAGTGCACACTGATTATTGGTCTTACTAGTCATCTTGGTTTATGTTGGTTAGTGGTTGAATCACCAAATATCGAAAATTAAGTGAGTTTAGGTGCAGATAGCCTATCACTGCAAAATAATGCCTTCACCAACCAATTATTGCAGGTTGCTTTCGATAAGATTGGCTCCATGACAACCACCACTATATCAAAGCAAAGGAAAAAGCAGGAACCAGCAGTCATGGCAGAGCTTGATGAGAGATTAAGACGGCTAAATTCCATAAATGGGGATGACAAATAGCTGTTTTTGCCAAAAGATCAAATTGTAATGTATCAAACGTCCTAGTCGGGGCATGCTGCCCCCTTTAAGAGGACATCAAAATTGTGCTTTCCTTATTTCTAAGAAGGAAAACCAAGTGGAAGGCATGTATTGTTTTAGTGGATGTAGGTGTTTAATGTAAAAATTTTGAGTTGTTACATTCTGAACAGTATCTATACACAACAGATTGGGCCATTGCTGCATCCCTGCCCCATAATTTAAAATTTGTTGATTTCTATTGGTATTGTCAATGATTATGTTCATGGGCTTAATTTTACCTCTATTGGTATCATTGATTATAATGTCGCCACCTGAAGCATTTTACATTTGTCCTATCAAATGGCGTAAAATGCAAATGGCAGATACAGATTGTTATCAGTTTTGAATGGCCTCAGCTTGTTCTAGTTTCCTGGAGACCCAATCTTTTTTGAACTGTATTTCAGTAATTTTGCGAGAATGTTGAGCGATTACGCTGTCTTGTTAATACCTGCATGTTTTGATGAGAAAACTGTAATGTCATTCATAAAATTCCCTCAAATGTTGCCTTATATATAACAATGCCCAGACGTGAGAAAAATGTTTCAGAAATCTCTCTTTCTATACGTAAATTGTGTTAGATACAATGGTGGACAATAATAATCCAAGACGCTTTGCGACTACTCATTGAAAATGAAGGTTCAAGAACCTGTCAGGGTAACTTGGGTGGGAACTTTTCGGGGTGACCAACTTGAGATTGCTAAGTCCATTGTAAAAGACACCCCTGGGCCCCATTGATCCGACATGCATAGTTCAAAGAAAATGATTATATATATCCCGAGTTTCCAATATCACAAGTTCAAAGAAAATGTTGTGTTTTTTAACTTCCATCTGCCTTAATTTTATATCTGGATAACGCATTCACAAATGTAATATATATTTTCAATGTGTAATTTCATTCTCCATGCACTGATTATGGTGTACCATCATTTGCAACACAGTACAAACGCGTCACACAATCTCCTGATGGATCATTAAAGTAATGCCCTCTTGCATAAAACATTAGCAACTGGATTATCAACTAACTGCAATGGATTCCATTTCGACCTCATAAGAGAAAAACTGTTAAATTCAGATAGTGGAACTTCTCTAGACAGTAGAGCTGCTATACTAACAGCCTCATCCTTGAAAGCCCACTCCTCACAGCTTCTGAGACTATTTTATATGGCATTCATATTACTTCTATCAATAGAATGGGTTGGCTGCAGGCTCATAAAGAACAGATTCAAAATGAGGAGGAGACCAACATGCCTTACGAACATCGATTCTCAAAAGTCATAGCAGTGCAACAGGCAAGTTTTTAACATCTCAACTGTGACTATATATGCATACAAATGAACTGTATAAACCTTGTGTCTTGTTCATTACTATAATGCTTTATGTGCAAGAAATATATCCAGAGTCTTCGTTTTTTTTTTTCCTATTGTGTATATGAATATCACAACATTGTGTAAGAATAACTTCATTATGCGAAAACCATCACACAAACAGGAATATTCATATTAAATCATCAAGAATTAAAATATTGGACTTGCGGAAGTGTTCCTGAATCCATAACAAAATATTGAAATATTTGAGTCTGAGTCTGAGGCTTTATGATATTCCAGATCTACAATTGTTTTCTGTTTAAATTTCTATTTGACAATGAGAATCAGAAGAATAGAAAAACCGTTGTGTGATCTGGGGACCATGACCCCTATTTATAAACAATCGTGTCTATTAATAAACAGTCATGTCTGTTCGTAATTTCTATTTTAACCCATCATAAAAATAGAAATTATTCTTGTCTCTACACATTAATGCCCACACTTCATAATATATTAATTAAGGCCCCAAAATTTAAATTAATCACTTTAATTAGCCTAATTTTATTTGATAGCCTATAATTCACATTTATTTAATATATAAGCCCATATATTTAATTTTACTCCAACAATCTCCCACTTGGGCTATATATGTAATTTTATAAACGTGAATTATACTTTATGAGCTCATGAGTTTTGCTATCAAAACTTCATATATTTTAACAATCTTGTCCATTAACCACACCAATACAGAACCGCAGCAATCGTCGTTACATATTTCGTAACTAGACTCATCAATGATCACATATATCAATACAACTAATGACAAAGATCAAGTGTGGATGTGTAGCATGGAAATTTCATGCAATGTGATCTTAGCATGCCTATTTCCAACTGGTCCTCCTTAAACCTTAGTGAGATCAAACCATGCAAAATCAAAGTCAATGAAAACTGAATACTTTACTGTAATAAATAACCACCCATAATATATATAACAAATGTATCTATAAATAAAAGCATCTAAAATACGAACTCCCATTGAAACGATATCTCCTGAAGAGAAACCATACCCATATGAGTAGTGTACTCATGAAAAACCTTGGGTGGTAATCCCTTAGTCAATGGATCTACAATCATGGAGTTTGTCCCAATGTGTTCTATAGATTTAAGTCTACTCTGAACTCTTTCTTTGACAACTAGGAATTTGATGTCTATAAATTTTGACTTCGTCGAACTCCTATTGTTGGAATATAGTACTGCTGATTTATTGTCACAAAATAACTTAAGTGGTCTTTCAATGCCATCTAGAATACGCAACTCTGTGACAAAATTTTGTAACCATATTCCATGATTGGACGCCTCATAACAAGCTACAAACTCAACTGCCATGGTAGAAGAAGCTACAATAGACTGTTTAACACTCTTCCAAGATATAACACCTCCAGCAAGTAAGTAGATATAACCTGAAGTAGATTTCATGCTATCTCGACATCCAGCAAAATCGGAGTCAGAATATCCAATGATCTCTAACTAATCTGATTTTCGATAACTAAGTATGTAGTCTTTTATTCTCTGTAAGTACCTTATGACTCGCTTGGCTGCTACCCAATGATCCTTTCCAAGATTGCTTAAGTATTTGCCCAACATGACAACAATGTACGTAATATCCGGACGCGTACATACTTGAGCATACATCAAACTTCCTATTGCTGATGCATAAGAAATCTTTTGCATCTCCTGAATCTCAAAATTATTCTTGGGGCATTGACTGAGACTAAATTTGTCTCCCTTAGCCACAGGGGGGTTACCTGATTTGCAATCATGCATGCCAAACTTTTAAAAAAAATTTCGATATAGCTCTTTTGTGATAAACCAAGTGTATCTCGAAAGCAATCTCGGTGTATCTGTATACCCAACACAAAAAAAACATCACCAATATCTTTCATCTCAAATTTCTTTGATGGAAATCTCTTGGTTTCATGCAACATGCTTATATCGTTGGTGGCAAGCAATATGTCATCAACATATAAAACCAAGTAAATATGCTTACTCCCACTGAAATGATGGTATAGACAATCATCAACCATATTCATCTTAAAACTAACTTGATCAAACTTGTAATACCATTGACGAGAAGCTTGCTTAAGCCCATAGATGGATTTCTTTAACTTGCAAATCATCTTCTTTGCATCTCCCGACACAAAATTTTCTGGTTGCACCATATAGATTGTTTCATCAATGTCACCATTGAGAAATGCAGTATTAACATCTATCTGATGAAGCTCAAGGTCAAAGTGCACCACAAGTGCCATTATTGTCCTAAAAGAGTCTTTCGATGAAACTGGAGAGAAAGTCTCTTTATAATCGATGCCTTCTTTTTGTGTAAAGCCTTTAGAGACAAGACGAGCGTATCTCTCCACATCACCTTTCGAATCCCTCTTGGTTTTAAATATCCATTTGCAATCAATGGTTTCACACCTTCAGGCAATGAGACAAGATCCCAAACGTCATTGTCCTTTATGGACTTTATCTCCTCATTCATGGCATCAATCCACTCTTGAGATTTAGAACTTTCCAGGGCTTGACAGAAGTTGATTGGATCATCTTCCATCATACCAATGTCAAACTCATGTTCTTGGAGAAATACAATATAATCATCTGGCACTGCACTTCTCCTTTTTGTAGTGGATCTCCTTAATAGCGTAGGTTCTGGAGGAGGTAGAGTTTGTTCTTCTGAAATGGGAGGTTCTTGGATATTGTTTTGATTTGGATCTGTTTCTTGAACAATGTCAGGTATAGGAGCCTGATCAATGTCAATAACAGCTATGAGAATATCAACATATTCCTCTCTTCAAAACAAAATCTCTGTCCTTATCTCCCTCATCAAACTCAACATCCTCAAAGAATCGGGCATTTCCCGTCTCAAAAATTGATCTAGTAGTAGGATCATAGAGTTTATAACCCCTGGATCTTTCAGAGTATCCAATAAAATAGAAACTAACCGTTCTTGAATCCAATTTCTTTTCATGTGGCCTGTAAGGCCTTGCTTCAGCTGGACATCTCCAAATGTGTAAGTGCTTCAGACTAGACTTCTTGCCTGTCCAAAGTTCATAAGGGGTTTTAGTAGTTGCTTTAGTTGGTACTCTGTTAAGGATATACGCTGCAGTCTTTAATGTTTCACCCCAAAGTGATTTTGGCAAGTTAGAATGACTAAATCATACTCCTTACCATGTCTTTGAGCATTCTGTTTCGCCTTTCAGTAACATCATTCATGCTTGGAGAACCTGGCATGGTGTATTGTGGACGATACCGCACTCCTCTAGGAATTTAGCAAATGGTCCCGGACGTTGTGCACCTGAACCGCCATACTTACCATAGTATTACCACCACAGTCAGATCTGACGTTTTTAATCCTTTTGTTGAGTTGATTTTCAACTTCAACTTTGAACGATTTGAACACTTCCAGTGATTAGGACTTTTCATGAATGAGATAAAGGTAGCCATAACGTGAAAAATCGTCTATGACGTGATAAAATATTGTTAGCCATTCCATGAAACCGTAGGAAATGACTCACAAATATCTGTATGTATCAGTTCTAAGACATCTATAGCCCAGTTGGCACCAAATCTCCTTATGTTTGTTTGTTTTTCCTTTATGCAATTTGTGCAAATTTCAAAATCTACAAAATCAAGGGAATCTAGAATCCCATTTGACACAAGTCTTTCAATTCTCCTTTTGGAAATGTGACCTAATCTCTTATGTCATAATGATGGGGAATTCTCATTGGTTAATTTTCTTTTAACATCTCGAGTACTTAATTGCAAGGTTTCATGATATGAAGCAACTGTATCAAGCATATAAAGGTTATCTACATAAGATAAAGAACCAATACCAACCAATTTGAATTTGAAAAAGACTAAATTT